GTGTGTGTGTGTGTGTGTGTGTGTGTGTGTGTGTGTGTGTGTGTGTGTGTGTTGGAGAGAGGGAGAGAACTGGGTTAGACCAGGTGCGTCGCCATGGCGAAGACTCAGAGGGTGGAGGACCCCTCCCCATGGCGTCTGCTCCTCCACATCTCTGTCAGCAATAGGAGAAGAAGGATGGGCTCTTCCTCCTTGTGATCCCCCAACTGGGCTGTTCCACGAGTCAGATCACTGCCAACATGGTTACTGGTCTATTCTGTGACACTGGAATATGAGCATTTTGTTTCTTTTCTTCTCTCTCTCTCTCTCCGTCTCTCTCTCTCTCTCCCTTCCTTCCTCCCTCTCCTTTCTTTCCTTCTTTCTTCTTCTTTGTCCCTCTCTCCTCTCTCTTTCTGTCAGTCTCCTCCCTTCCCCTCCCTCCTCCCTCCTCTGTCCCCTCATAACAATCCTATGAGTCCATCGTTTCAAGTGGCCTTCTATTATTGTATCAGGGCCAGAACACTAGAGTCCCCTCCAGTCGGCCTGCCCCACCCATCTCCCTTTCCCAATCCATATTGCCCCTGGCAACTTGTCTTCAACCCAGAGCTCCCACCAGCCCTGGGGTCCAAGCTGATTGTCTTGGCAAAAGCCAAGCAGCCTGCGAAAGCCCCTGCCGTGTTGGTTAGGGTGGCTTCAGTTTTGTGGGTGTGCATCCTGGTGTCTTCCTGGTGGAAGGTCTGAGCTAGGAAAGCCTGGGTTTCGGGTGAATTACACCCTCCTTGAGGCCCATGGTTAGCTCACCCTGCCTTCGTCAGTAATGTGTGCTTGACAGGGCAATAGTGCAGGGATAGAACTATTAGCCTTGGGAGCGAGCCTGGCGACCCATTGGCATGTGTAAATATATCCCAGTGTCCACAGTGTGTATTCCTGAATAAACTATTTCTTTCTCTTCTTCCTTTTCTTCTTCCCTTTATTCTCATAGAGAGTAACTAGATGAGAGGTGAGGTGACCTTCCCCCTGCCCCCCAAATGAAAAGCAATCATTTTTCTGGATCGAGATGTCACTTGGCTTCTGATTGTTGAACCCCAACTAAAACAGCCTTGCCCTTTGGCCCTCCAAAGGGCCTGCTCCCCAGCCATAAATATATGACCTCAAAGGGAGGTCTGAGAGCTGAGGGAGGGGGCTATGAGGCTGGGGAAAGTAGACTGCCCCTGCCTCAAGCCGGCCATCTCTTGCTCTGCCTGGGAGTTGGGTTTCAAAGGGCTGGGGTGAAGTGAAGGCCTCACCCCTAGTTTTTTGGACAGCCAGCCTTCAATTATCTGCAGCAACAGCAGCAACAGGAGATGTTGCTCACCCCAAAGAGCCGCTTATATTTGGCTTTGGAATGCACTTAGGCACATGCCACGAAGCGTGTGGTCAGCCCTGGAGTCAGGCAGAAGCCCCGGGCATGTAGGCACAAACAAGCGCCCAGCCACACCATGGTCCACACACAGCTATGCACACCCTCCAGTGCTTCCTCCCCCTGAGCAGGTCTGACTCAGCCAGGAATCTCAGAGTCTGAGTCTCTAATGGGGCGGGAGAGACGAGGTGATCTCCAAGACCCCGGAAGGCAGAGAATTGAGAATTCACTTTGATCTACTTCTGATCCCCCCTTAAATTCTTAAGAAGCATGTCATGGGTTGGGGCGGGAAGGAAGAGCATCAGTCTTAGTAACAGGTCAAGAAATGCCGACTGAAGGAGCCCACAGTTTGGAGAAAGAGAAGAAGAGAGATCTGCTTACCCGGTGTGGATAGTCACCACATTGACCCTAGGGAAAGAAAGAGAAACAGAGATGATTGTTAAGATGCCCCCTCACATTCGTAGCCTGGTGGTTTCTGTGGAGGGTTCCCCAATCTGCCAGTCACCGTGCTGCTAGTGTGGATCCTCAGGAGAAACCTGGGCCTCTTTCTTTTTATCCCCAGTGCTTCATATACAGTAAGTGCTTAATAAATGTATGTTGATTTAGACTAGCAGTGTCCCCTGGTACAAGTCATTTTACAGTGCTAAGCATTTGCCCCTTTGTATAATGGGGATGACAATGCTTCCACTCCCAGTCTTGTGGGGGTGAGGAGGGGGAAAGTACTTTGTAAACCTCAGAATGGGATAGATACCACAAAATCACATTCTGATTCTTTTGACTCTCTCAAATCTGAGGCTGTAGAAGGAAACTCATATCACGTCCCAGAAAAGTCAAGAAGCAATATATGGGCAGGTTTGGAATAACCCCAATGAGCAGAGGCTTTGGCCATGGAGGGGCTCCCTTTGGGCGAGCTCCAGAGCCTGCAAAACCTATTTCTAATCTCACTTTCTGTTTCCAAAATCAAATCTGGCCTAGGTAATAATAATAATGGACCGACTATACCCAGAGGAGGGAGCTACGTGGTGCCATAGTGCACAGAGCGCCGGGCCTTGAGTGGGGAAGACTCATCTTCCTGAGTTCAAACCTGGCCTCAGACACTTACTAGCTGCGTGACCCTGGGCCAGTCACTTCACCCTATCTGCCTTAGTTTCCTCATCTGTCAAATGAGCTGGAGAAGGAAATGGCAAACTACTCTAATATCTTTGCCAAGAAAATCCCAAATGGGGTCACGAAGAGTTGGACAGGACTGAAAAGGACTGAACAGCAACATATCCAGAGGAGAGGCACTTGCTTTAAATGGAAGAGAGAGCAGTGTAACCTTCAAAGCAGATGTTGGGCTCACTGTATGAAAAGCCTGGCACTATTGCCAGAGTAGAGCTAGTCTGATTTGGCCAAAGAATCTTAGAATCTCAGAGTAGGGAGGGTCCTCTTTGGCCATCTAATTGAGCCTCTACCTGGTGAGAATTCCTGTGACAAGTGGTTGTCCAGCCTCTGCTTGAAGACCTTCAAGAAAGGGGGACCGCTTTTCCTGGTCATCCCTTCCACTTCTGGACAGTTTTCATTGGTAGGCAGTTACTCCTGAGCCCATCGGTTTAGTAGAATGAGCTCTGGCCTTGGGGTCTGCTCTTAGCTGCTTACCAACTGTCTGATTCTGAGCCAGCCAGGTAACTTTTCTATGCCTCAGTTTCCTCATCTGTAAAACAAGGGGGCTGGACTCAATGGCCTCTAAGATTTTTTCCAGCTCTAAATCTATGAGTCTACATCATGTCTAAATCTGTTATTTTGTTTCTAATTCCACTCTCTGGGACCAGAGGGACAAATCTAATCCATCTTCCTCCACCAATCTACCTCCAGGCTAAACATGTCACCTAACATTGGATGAGTGCTGGAAGGGACCTTGGAGATTATGCAATCTGTTCTCTATTTTATACAGAAGAGGAAAATGAGCCCCGGAGAGCGGACATTACTTGCTCAGGATCCAACACCTAGTAAATAGCAAATCTAGAGTCTGAACCCGGGTCTCTGGCCTCTTCAACATTGGCTGGGAAAGTGTTCCTTGCTTTTTGAAGATGCTGGAACTGTTGAGTCTGGAGAGGAGAACACTGACGGGGGATGCAATTTCTGCCTTCAAATGTGTGAGTGGCTGTCATGTAGAAGAAGGATTAGCCTCATTCTTTGAGACCCCATGGGACAGAATTGGGAACAATGATTGGAGGTTGCCAAGAGACACATTTCCGTTCAATTCAAGGAAAACTTTCCTAAGGACTGGAGCAGTCCTAATTGAAACGGCTGCCATGGGAACCCTCCACCTGGAGGTCTTTGAACAGAGGTGGGGTGACCACTGCGTAGGGATGCTGAAGAAGTGGTTCCTGATGGGCACAGGTTGGACTGCCTGCTGAGATCTCTTAAAACTCTTTGGTTCTGTGACTCCATATCCACGGCTCTCCCTGCCATGCTCATGTCATCATTCTGTTGTTCAGACGTTTTTGACTCTGTGACCCCATTTGGGGTTTTCCTGGAGTGGTTTGCCATTTCCTTTTCCAGCTCATTTTACAGAAGAAACTGAGGCAAACAGGGTAAATGACTTGCCCAGAGTCACGCAGCTAGTAAGTACTTGAGGCCAGATTTGAACTCAGGAAGATGAATCTTCCTGACTCCAGGTCAGGTACTCTATCCACTGTGCCACCTAGCTGCCCTTCCCTACCATGCTATGCCATGCCAAATCAAAAAATCAGTGTTAAAAATCCATGATTTGGGGGCAGCAAGGTGGCGCAGTGAATAGAGCACTGGCTCTGGAGTCAGGAGGACCTGAGTTCAAATGTGACCTCAGACATAACAATCACTAGCTGTGGGATTGCCTCACCAAAAAAAAAGGCCATAGTTTCTCTTGATCTCTTGGGAGGCTTCATGTTTCATTAAAAGTAAATGCTACAAATCCACAGGGAAACTTACCTTTTCTCCTTTTGGTCCTGGGGGTCCCTGCAAAGAGAAATTAGAAAACAAAAATAAAGGTGAGGAACTGAGGCCTGCGGTGAAGAATGTTCCCTCCTCCCCTCCACCTTCCGGTTTCCCTGGCTTCCTTCAAGACTTGGCCCCAACCCCACCTTCTTCAGGCTTTTCATGGTTCTCACTCTCCCTGCTTCTCCCAGCTGGTGCCTTGCTCTTGAGATTACCCTTTATCTTCTCTGTGGAGATCTTCTGTATACTTACTAATTGATATGCTGTCTCTTCCATTAGACAGTGAATTACTTGAAAGGCAGGGACTAGATTTTTGCCTTTGTTTTTAGCCACTGAATTTAGCACAGTGCCTAGCACACAGTAGGTGTTTACTACATGCCGGTTGACTCAAAGTTGACTGGGAAAGTGCCATTTCTGATAGGAATGCCACACCCGATCTGAGGACTTACCTGTTGTCCCTTGGGACCTGATAGACCCTGGTAGGAGAAGGAAACATATCCAGTCAGCTGAGACAAAGCCAAGGATTAAGAGGAAAATCAACAGAATCACAAAGTTTTCACTGATACAGACACTCCTGAATCTAGGGAGCTGGTGACATTATAGAGAAAGCACTGGGCTTGAAGTCAGGATGACCTGAATTCTAATTTTTCTCAGACACTTCACTCAAGTGATCCTGGGTTTCATCTTTCAGCCTGTTTCCTCATCTGCAAAATGGGGTTAATAATAGCACCTACCTCATAGGGTTGTTGTGAAGCTTTGCAAACTTCAAAGCACAATATAAATGCTAGTTATTATAATAATATTATTATGTTGTAATTATATTAATATGATTATTATAATGTTAATAATAATTATTATCTAGCTTAGGAGTGGGGAGAGGGAAAGAAGGTGGAAATAGGTAGAGAAAGGCTTGATTTATTTCTCAGACTGCCCTTGGCAAACAGATGGGGTGCCCCCTCCCTCTCTTCATTAAAAACATCCAGGGAGCATGCAGGGGTGGAGGAGGTCTTCACCCCACTTATCCCCTAACCCTAGCCTTCACAGGAAGGAGTCAAAAGGCAGGATGACGCCACTATGGCACAGTAACCAGGCTGAAGAATGTCATTTAGTTTGATGAGCATTTATCAAAAATTCCTACTATGTGCTAGGCCACATGCCAGGATACAAGAACACAACAAAATAATCCATGCCTTCAAGGAGAAGCAGGTTTGCATCCAGCCTCAGACACTTATTAGCTGCATGGTTCTGGGCAAGTCCCTTAACTTGCCTGGGCCTCAGTTTCCTCATCTATAAAATGAAGGTGTTGGGTGTGATGGCCTCCCAGGCCCCTTCCAGCTCTATGAGGCCACATTCCACTGACAGAAGAAGGTATTCAAAACAGGAAAAGGCAAAGGAGACTTGCACCAGCCCCCCAGGAAGGAGGCCAGATAGCCCTTTCCTAAGCATGAGCATAGTTAATATTTATACAGTGCTTTACAAAGCACTTTATGTATGCTATCTCATTTGGACCTTACAGCAACTTTCTGAGGGTGGGTAGCATAGACGTTATTATTATTCCCATTTTACAGGTGAGGATGTAGAGGTCTAGAGAGATTAATTGACTTGTCCAGGGCCACAGAACTAGTAAGCGAGGAAGAGCTAGATTCAAATCCTACTACATCCCTACTTATTAGCTGACTAATGGAGGTCATTTCTCTTCTGTAAGACTCAGTTCCCTCACCTGTAAAATGGGAATAATAATGCTTGTTGTTCTCACCTCACAGGTTGTTGCGGGACCCAAATAAGATAATGTCTTTGCAAACTTTAAGGTGCTTTGTGATAATGGGCCCTCCCATCCTTCATGAAGACTCCCTGTGCCGGGGGGGGGGGTGTGGGGGGTGTGGTGGGAAGCCAGGCTGACTGTGTCTGTCTTTCGGGTGTAACAGAAGGCCAGTGAGTTTAAAGGGGATATATTGAGCTAGAATTCAAACTGACATCTTGTGACTTCCAAACCCGTGGTCTTTCCCCCACACCATCTGATTCCTCAGAGATAGCCCAGGAGCAATGGGGTGGGGGAGCTTGGCAGGAGGAGGGAAGGAACGGGAGCCCCCTTGCAGCTTTTGAACCTAGGGATGGAGGTGGGCTCTGGACTTAGGGTTGCCTTTTGCTCAGGAGATGAAAGTGGAGCCTAGCAGAAGTCCTGAGGTGAGGTTGGGCCACATGGGATGGAGCATTAACTTGGCTACCTAGAGTCTGTTCCACGTTCGAGAGTCAGGGAAAGTAGACTTTCCCTATTGGAGATCCAACCCAGTGCACCGGAAATGGAGACAGGAACTCAGGAGTTAAGGTTCGGCTTGCTCACTCTGCTGGGGGAACCAGGTGCCCTGAAGCTGGGGTAGTGGTGGTGGAGAGATGCTCTCCTCTCCAATCTCTTCCTGAAGACAGGAAGGCAGAATCTGGTATGTCCCAAATACGGCTCCACTCTCCCCAGCTGCCTCTGGGAGGCATCAGCAGAGAAAGACAAACCAGCTAGAATGATGGTGTTAGGAAGTGAGAGAGAAAGAAAGAAAAAGAATGTGGAAAAGAGACAAAAAAGAAAAAAGGGAGCGAGAGAGTCCCTGAGAGACAGCGGAGGGCGGAGGGTGGCAGCCAGATGATAAGCAAGGCAAGAAAACGACTTTAAACAGTGTTGTTAAATGAATAGTTCCTAGCTGTCAAGCCAAGTCAAACAGAGGCCAATGATGCCGGGGCCTGTCTCATTTTGATAGATGGTGATGGTGTGGAAGGGGAAATAGAAAATACCCTTTGGCTGATTCGGGAGGGAGACGGCTCCTCAATCCCGTCTTTCCTTTTTGTTGGCTCTCTTTGGACTTGGCGGGGTGCTGGGAGTAGTCCCTGCAGTGGAAGGCATGCAGACGGGCTGGGAAGATGGGCGGTTCATGGAAGAAAGGCTAGGTCCTAGGGAGGAAACTTGCCTTCCTCATAAGGACAAAGGCCATGCTCACCACAACCCAACAGGGTAAATCATCCAAGCATCACCTCCATTTTACAGAAGGGAAAACTGAGGCCCAGAGAGAGGGGGAGAAAGTTACCCAAGCTCATAGAGCCAGTGTTGTGAAGAGCTGCAGCTAGCATAATGGAGCGGTGGCTGCCCGAGGCCACTGGAAGAGGGGGAGGGGAAGAGCAACTGAAGAGATGCTACGGCAAGGAAGTGGGAGAAAACCACTTCATCTTTATGGGCCTCAGTTTCCTCAACTGAAAAATGACGAGGTTGGACCCAATGGCCTTCTAAGTTCTAAATCGATGATCCTGTGTTCCCGTGAACCTACCTGGGATTCAGAGGTGAAGGTGGAAGTTAGAAAGCCCGCTTTAGCTTGTGATCTTGGCCAAGCTACTTCCTCTCTCCAGGCCTCACTGATCTCACTGCCAAGTTAGGGAGTCAGACTACATGACCCAGATCCCTTCCAGCTCCTAAATTCTCTAAGGTTCTAGGAGCACAGTGGCAGTCCCTACGTCCCATGTCAGGAATTAAAAGACTGGGGCCTGAATCCTGGCTTGCTCATGTGCCATCTTGGTAACGTCCTCTCTGGGCCTCAGGTTCCCCATCTGTAAAATGAGCGGTTCGGACCAGAAGACCTCCTGCCAGAGGTCCTGCTAGACCTGCGGCATACCTGTAGAGCATCACCTTGATTGATGCCTTTCTAATGCACTCCCTGGGAATATTGTGTGTTATAGTCATTCACGCATGTGACTTTTCCCCTTACTGGACCATGAATTCCATGAGGGCAGGGATTTTCCATCTGAGGTTCAGATAAACCCTCTGTAGGCCTCCAATCATGCGACAACAGTGGTTGAGTTTTATCTAAACTAAACAGCAAGCACTTTTAACAAATGTTTGACTAATGAATGAGTGAACGTGGAATTATCCCTACTTTATAGATGGGTAAGCCAGGGCCCAGGAAAATGAAGCAACAAGCCCAAGATCACAGCCTGAGTTAAAAGCGGAACCCTGACTACAACTCAGGTGCTGCTTGCCTGTCTGGTTTTCTACCCAGGGGCAGAAGGTACGCTGCCTTGCCTGGGCAGGTCTGGCTGCCCATTCTCCAGCAGCTTTACAGCTGTGGCTTGTGAACAGCCTCACCAGCCTTTGGAGGGAGGAGGTTTCAGGCTGGGCAGCCTGAACCGTTTCTGGCCAGGAGTCGGCTGCAAAGGGCCAGAGAGAAGGCTCGCTCCTCCTCTGGGCAGCTGAAGTTACAGCCGGCCCCTGCACTGGGGAGAATGCCCAGGCCCGTAGGTGTGAGCCGGAGCATCGTTCCCTCGTGCTCACATGCTCGGTCCATCTGCTGTTAACTGTCTGCTCAGCCTCCTCTCCTGTTTCACAAGACAATGTCACCAGGCCCATCCCAGATAGAGGGTGGGCTTTCAGCCTAGGGGAACATTTCCCAACCCAGCAGGGCTGTCGAGCTAAGCATACGCCAGATTCCTGAAGAAGAAAACACACACACATAAACACACACATGCTCTCATACACAAATACCCACATGCAAACGCATAATGTATAAACATAAGACACATATACACACAAACACACAAAATACCTCCACACAAACACATACACAACAAACCTATCCATGAACACATACAAATATACACATGTACAAATACATACACATATACACACAAACACACACAACACCCCTACACATATAAACACACCCACATACAGACACATACACATAACACATATAAACACACAAAGACAGCCCCCCCTCACAGATATAAATATACACACATACACACACATGTAAACACCCACACACAAATACACACATACACACAAATGCACATAACAAACACACACACACACACACAGATCAGGAGGCTGAGGTAGGGAGAGGTGGTTGGACAGGAGAACTCACTTCTCCATCTCAGCCACTACGGATTATCAGAGCTAACATGGACCAGAGCTTTAACAGTTGTGGCCTGCTTTTCATTTTTAGGATAGCCCTATGAGGCAAGTAGTGCAAATATCCCCATTTTACAGATAAGGAAATGGAGGCTCAGAGAGATCTGGCTCATGAAAGGCGTGAAAGTGTGGTAGAATGTAAAAGAAAGAGGGGTCTTGAGTCAGAGGACCCAAAATTGAATGCCAACCTTGGGCAATTCACCTAATCTCTTCCAAGCCTCACTTTCCTGATCTGTAAAAATAAAGGGGGTGTCCATGACTCCTTCTAGCACTCAGTTCTGTCACTTGCCCAGGATCTCACAACTACTGGCTATTAGAGCCAGGACTCAAGCCCAGGTACCCTGGCCTGAGGCCCAATGTGCTTTTTTCCACTTCATGTGGAGAATCCTAAGGAGGGAAGGCCAAGCAGCCTGCCCAAGGGGGACTCCACCCCTGCTGGGCTTGGAACAGTCTGAGTTACTGAGTAAGGTTTCTTCAAATGTGAGAGCTCATTGTTTTTAAATTGTCTCAGCTATGACCCAATGAGACCCACCTCACCCCTCCATTCCCTGCTCAAGATCTTACCATCTCCCCCTTCGGTCCAGGGTAACCCTGAAAGAGAAGATAGTGAGGGCCAGACAGGATAATTTCTAAACAGAGAAGCCTGCTCTACCTCTCTACCTTCTTCTCTCCTCCCCTCTTTTCCTCCCTCCCTCCCTTTCTTCCTCCTTTCTTTCCTGCTTCCTTTCCCTCCTTCCTTCTTTCATTCCTCCTTTCCTCCTTCCCTTCCTTCCTTCCTTCTTTCCTTCCTTCCTTCTTCCTATGCCCAAGGCCCTGTACAGGAGCAGCTGCCTGCCCTAGGGAGGTGAGGTAAGGGGATCGAGGGCAGTGCGGGATGTGTGTCCACTGGGGAGAAGGCTGCCTCCCTCCCCCAAACCTAGGCTACTGCTAAGGAATCCTGGTTACTTGAGTGGAAAAGACCATGGCACACAGGCCTTGTGGCTGAACTGTGTAAACACGGGTTAGTCCATCCTAGGGAAGAATGAGCTCAGTTGCCAGTTCCCTGATCTTCAGTGGTGTGTGGCAGTCAGTTAGTGCCGAGCTGGCTCTGGCCATGAGCAGTCTTGCTTCCAAGACAGCTGGCATTTTTCCTCACTGGAGCTCTGGGAGTCTGAAGGAGCTGACTCCTTGTCTACCCACATAGGCCTTGACACATGAACTACTCCTTCTCTGTTTCATCATGTCTTGGCAATAGTGGCAATGTGGGCATTCTTAATTCATTGGGATCTCTTTCTCTAGGCAGGATTTGGATCTGGGGACCTTTCAGGTGAGAAAATCAGACTATGCCCTTTCACACACACACACACACACACACACACAAAAGCAAAACAAACCCTACAAAACCATTTCTCTCCAGGTGATACCAGGGTAAAGTGCCCACTAAGGGCGTTCTTGACAGGGAACATGGCAGAATGCAAGCTGGAATAATAACTAACACTTCCAGGGGAGTCTCTGAGGTTTAGAAAATGCTTTCCTCTCAATAGCCCTGTGAAGTAGGCATTAGGATATTATTATTCCCATTTTGCAGATGAGAAAGCTGAGGCAGAGCAGTGAGGTCACTTGCCCAGAGGTTACCCAGCTAGTTCAATGTTCATCTCAATGCACATGGCTCCCAGATCTCTATATCCAGCCCTTGTCCCTAGTCCAGTATCACCAATTCCCCACTGGACATGTCACACACACAGGACCTGTCCTGCCCTGGAGCCATCTTAAACCTGACATGTCCCAAACAGAACTCCCCATGTTCTCCCCTTACTTCCAACCCAGCCCTTTTCTAATTTTTACTGAGGGCACCACCACTGGCCAGTTCCCCAGGTTAGACACCCCAGAGTCATACTGGGCTCCTCACTCTCTTCCCTCCCCTCATCCCCAAGTCCAATCTGTTTTGATGCATTGTCATTCTGTTCCTGTATCATCTCAATCAGTCCTCTTCTCTCCACTCACAGCCACCACCCCAGTTCCTTTGTCGCCCAGTCTCGCCTGGACTACTGTAATGGCCTTCCCAGTGGTCTCCCTGCTTCCGGTCTCTCCCCTTTCCAGTCCATAGTCCACACAAGCCAGACACTGTGCTAAGCCTGGGGGTTACGAATAAGAAAAAAGAAAGACAGTCCCTTAGGGAGCTAACAATCTAAGGGTCCTATATGATCTCCTCTGTTTGGCATTTAAAAACTTTTATAATCAGGCTCCCACTGACCTTTCCAGTCTAACTGCATCATTCTCCTTCATATTGGGTTGTTTAGTCAAATCGGCCAGTCGGCTTACTCTCACATAATATAGCCCATCTCCTCCCTCCATGCTTTTGAACAGAGGTCACTTAAGCCTAGAAAGCTCTCCTTCTTCACCTTGGCCACTTGGAAACCCCACTGTCTTTCTAAGCTCAGCAGAAGTACCACCTCCCACATGAGGTTCTTCTTGATACACCCAGCATAGTGCTTCCCCCAGGGAAGTTACCTTGTATTTACTTTATATATCTCTTGTATCCCCTTATATGTGGGCCAGTTATAGAGAAGCTTCCAACCTGCCTCAATAGAAGGAGTTTCCTCACTAGGAGTTCCCTATCCCAATGAAATCACAGGTCTGGTCACTATCCCTATTCCTAAAAGTGCACATTTTGTTTCCTCTGATAGACTGGAAGCTCCTTGAGGGCAGGGACTATTCTTTGTATCTCTGGTGCCTAGCATAGTGTCTGGCACACAGTAGGTGCTTAAAAAATGTTTGCTTTAAAACTATAAGAGTCAGAGCTGAGATCTGAAACTAGTCTTCTAATCCCAAGTTGAGGGTACTATCTACTATACCAGGCAGGATCTGGAGATTGAATTTTGAATCCTAGCCGGGCAACTGTGGGCAGGTCCCTTTCCCGACTTGAACATCATTTTCCTTATCTATAAAATGGGGATAATAATACCTGTACTATCTACATCACAGGGTTTTGTGGCGAGAGTGCTTTAGAAATTTTAAAATGCTCCAGGAATGTGAATTATTCTTAATGAAGGGAAAGAAATCCCGAAAGGGCAACATAGAGCTGGAGGGCTGTGGGAAAAGTGAAGAGGGTAATGGAGTGGGGATCAGGGAGAAGATCATGGGCTGAATGTAAATGAGTGAGCCCCCTGTCTTTTCTCGCCTTAGCTGGAATTCCTTCTTTCCTCCTTCCTGAGTCTTGACATGTCTCCCTCTCTTCCTCCCCCTCCTTTCACTCTCCCCTTTGGCAAATGTCTGGCTTCAGGCACCGTGCCTTCGCATATATACTTATGAATCTGCTCTTGAGATGACCTTGGCTTCTGGGGTCATCTCCCAAATGTTATACAGCTCTGGAATTCCCTTCCTTCCCCCACCTCCAAGGATAGAGTTGCTTTCCTAGGTCCTTAAAGAGAATCATACTTTTCCTTTAATTTTTTCTAGAAACCCTCAGAGGGAAGCCAAGAATCTCTCAGCAGGACCAACAGAGTGAACTGGCATCAGGGAGGAAGGTGAAAAGCCTGAGGAGAAAGCAGCCACCTACCGGTTTGCCATCTAAGCCGATGGGGCCCTGAAACAGAGAAAGACAGAAAAGGGTTGGTTAAGGGCTGTATGTTCTGTTAAACATAATTACCTTATCTTTCCCAGTGAACTCAGCCCTTGAAAAGAGGGACAATAAGGAAGAGGTACTTCTTGAGAAATTATGCATCAGAGGGGAACCTTGAGTCCCCAGACAGAGACTCCACCATTCAAAAATGGCACAGTGCATAGAGCACTGGACTTGGAGTGAGGAAGACCTAGATTTGATGCCTGCCCCTGGCACTTGTGAGTGAAGGCAGGCAAGTCACTGACTTCCTTATGCCTCAGTTTCCTGGTTTGTAAAATGAAGAGTTTGATTTAGATGACCTCTATGGTCCCTTCCAGGTCCAAATTTATGAGCTTATAAAAAATTCCCAGCACCTTTCCTCCCCATCTGGAGCCTCGCTATGTCAGTTGTCCTTCTGCTGTGGCCCCTTGCTTCCCATGGCTAGTGAGACTGTGAGTATCATACAGACAGAGCTGGAAGAGACCTTGGAGGTCATTTAGTCCAAACCTCTCATTTTACAGAGGAGGAAACTGAGGTGCAGAGGTTACGTGACCTGTCCAGGGTCATGCAGCTAGCAAATAGATTTAAATCCAGGCCTGCCAGACATCTTCCCCATTCCTTGGATCTTTCGGCTGGCTAGAGTGCTGGGCCTAGAGTCAGTAAGAGCTGAGTTCAAATCAAGCCTCAGACACTTGATAGCTGTATGACCCTGGGCAAGTCACTTAACCTCTGTCCACCTCAGTTTCCTTACCTGTAAAATGGGAGTAATAGCAGCACTCAGAGCTGTGGTGAGGATTAAATGGGATAATAAACATGAAGGGCTTTGTAAATCTTAAAATGCTGTGTAAATATTAGCTATTATTATCTCTGTTCTCTGTGTCCAAGCCAGGTCAGGGGCCCTTTCCCTCCAGGGTGAGTCTTCTTGAGTCCCTTGCTACACTGCCATGGGCAACTAGGTGGCGCTGCAGTGGATAGAATGCTGAGCCTGAAGTAAGGAAGACTCTTCCTGAGTTCAAATCCAGCCTCAGACACTTACTAGCTGTGTGACCCTGGCAAGTCACTATTTGCCTCATCTGTAAAATGAGCTGGAGAAGCAAACGGCAAACCACTCCAGTATCTTTGCCAAGAAAACCCTAAAATGGGGCTCACGTAGAGTCAGACCCTCCTGAAACGACTGAACAACAATGAAAACGACAGTGTCAGGTCAGTCTGGGGTTAGTCAGCCTCTTCAGCAGAAGCAGAGAGGTTGCTGGGTTTTGCTGCTTGCTTTCTCTGTCCACTTTCTCTCTCTCTAACAACTAGGAGCAGTCCTAGCTCTGATCTACCCCATGTCTGGCTTCATTTTTGGAAGGGCTGAGGAGTAGAGCACTCCATGAAAGCACCACTGTTGCTTCAGAGGGGAATGCCAACACAAGGGATAACTCAGTGCAATGAGGCCCAGCTGAAATGGATGGGCAAGGGCATTTACAGAAACCATCCCCACTCACCGGAAATCCAGGAAAGCCTCTTGTGCCGGGCTGACCCTGAAAAGGAGAAAAAAGAAAGAGTAATCAAAAAAGTGAGCAAGCCTGGGAGACAATGACTCCTACCCCCCCGGGGGCTCCAAGCCCCCTTTTCTTCTTACAGCAATAACTTTGGGTTCTAGAGTGGGAAGACCTTGGTGATCATCCAGCCGAATCCTCTTATTGTATAGTTGTGGAAACTGAGACCCAGAAAAGAAAAGTGACAAGCCCAAAGTCATACAGTAGGAAGTGACGGGCGCCAGGATTTGAACACGGGTTCGTTGACTCTCTCCCTTGCTATTTTCTGGACTACACATTCTCTTTGAATGATGGAAAGGGAAGGTAGAGTTAGTGAGCCTGAAGGGTGGGCACAGAAAGAGAGAAGCTGGAGGAATTCATCTGAAATTAATTCATTCAACAAACATTTATTAAGCCCTGGCTGTTTGCAGGGCATTGAGATTGATAGAAAGTTTAGATAAGACACAGTCCTATCCAAAGGCATGCACAGTATGTTTCATTAGTATTGTAACCAGGAATTTTTAAAAAATGCACACATTTATTAAATACTCTATCATAAATGCTATTATTTTTATTTATTAAAATAAATAACTAAATTTTTTTAAAAAAATACAGTTTTAAAAAATGTGACAAAAAATACCATATTTGTTTTGAAATATTATGATGTGTCAGGGCATACCCAGCATGCCCTGCACATGTGCTTATGGTCCTGCCCTTGACTGGCAAGTGTCTCCATTTTAAATTTTTTTGGGAGAAGGAGATGGTGATGGGTTTAAGGGGGTTTCCTAGAGCTCCTAGGCCTTACGAAAGACAAAATAGTAGGAAGGAAAAAGGACTTGATGGAGAATCAGGAGAACTAGGTTTGGCCAGCTGTGTGACTGACCATGGGCAAGTCACTTCCTCTCCCTCAGTTTCCTTCTCTGTGAAACGAGAGGGTTGAATCAGATGATTACTCTGAGATCTTTCCCAACTCTTTTGAGCTATCACAGTCTGTGTCCTGGGGTAACACATAGGCTGAGCAAGAGAGCTCAGTGAAATGGGCCAATATTGAATTGAGGGCACGGGATGGCTAACTTTAGTATTCGGTGGGTCTATGCCGTGAGTAGAAGGGATAAGGTAATAGCAAAGTGGACAACTCAACATTTGAGATCTGCCTCCATGCCTACCTAAATATAAGGTGAAAGTCACTTGGCTACCCTGAGCCTGCTTCCTCATATGTAAGTGGGGAGAATGTCCCACCTTCACAAAAGAGGCACTTTGAGGGTCTGAGCAGCAAACATACAGAAGCACCACCAAACCCTTTAGCATTATAGAAATGTAAGGCAATAGAATCACAGCTAACACATTAGTACACATTGCTTGCTAGCTCTCTCTAGGGTAGCTAGGTGGCTCCATGGCTAGCACTGCAGTCCTGGAGTCAGGAAGACTCGTTTTCCTGAGTTCAAATCTATCCTAAGACATTTACATTATGTGACCCTGGGCAAGTCACTTAATTCTGTTTGCTTCAGTTTCCTCATCCGTAAAATGAGCTGGAGAAGGAAATTGCAAACCCCTCCAGTATTTTTGCCAAGAAAACCCCAAAGGGGGTCACAAAGAGTCAAACACTAACAACAACAAAAGCTCTGTCTAAAGGCAGTTAAGTGGTATAAAGAATACAGGAGGCCCTGAGTTCAAATGTTCCCTCAGATACTTACTGCATGGCTTGGGTAAATCTCTTGGCCTTAGTTTCCCCATTTATAAAATGGGGACAATCATAGCACCTACTTCACAGGGTTATTAAGAAGATCAAATGAGATAGAACATGAAAAGGGCTTTGCATCCTAAGAAGAGCGATATAAATACTAGTTATTATTATCTATCACTGTAATTACATATTCATATAATCCTCAAAAAGGGCTTGCCAGAGGAAGTGACCCTAGGTTCTCAGAGGCTCTGGAAGTTTCCAGGATAGGAACAGGGCTTGTGACTTGATTGGTATAAGGAACTTCCAAGTGAGGAAATGCCCTCTTCCAATGCAGGCCAGCATCTTCATTACAACTCAGAGTCTTACAGTGTGGCCTAAAATGAAGAAGAGGTTAGTGACTGGCTGGAGGTCACACAGCCAGGATGTGCCCACAGAAGCAGAACTCGAACCCAGATCTTCCTTGCTTGAGGCCAGCTCATTATGTACTATTCCATTCTGCCCCACAGGCATTCCTAACACTCTGGAAAAACACTGAGAATGAATTGAATTAGAGATAATATGTCCATTGTTCAGAGAAAGGTAGGGTTAAGTGCCAGGAGCCTCATTATCAGAAACTTGAGGGGCAGCTAGGTGGCAGTAGAGAGAGCACTGGCCCTGGAGTCAGGAGGACCTGAGTTCAGATCCAGTCTCAGACCAGACAATTGATGCCTACTAGCTGTATGACTTTGGGCAAGTCACTTAATGCCAAATGCCTCACCCCCTCCCAAAAAAAATTAGAAACTTGAATACCAGGGAATGTATTTTTTTTTCAGCCCCAGTGGGGAGAGGGTGGCATTCTGCAATGGCTGAGGAAGCTGCCATGCTGAGCACACCTTGGATCCTTGAAGCAGTCATCTAAGAATTGATCATATTGTTATGGTTCAATGCTCTGTAATTTCATTGGCATGGGCTATTGAATGGATGAATGAATGAAAGAAAGAATGAATGAATGAATGAATGAATGAATGGATAGTGAAGTCCTACCATAACTTAGTACATAGTCTTTGAGAGTTGTAGCTGAAAAAAAAAAGTCACTCATTGGCCGCTAACCAACTGATGAGCTCCTACATCTTCTCTAGGCAGGTCCTTAGATAACACATAGTCTGTCATGGTGATGAAGTCTTTCCGACTTGGCAGGACACACAAGATCTCTACCCCTCTGAGAGCTTGGAGTCATCACCATACCACAAAGAGGCATTTGGAGGACTTCAGTGGAAGAAAAAAAAGTATTAATGATTTCAGGGAAAAATGTATTAATATTTATTTGCAAGATTCCACTTGCTGAAAATTTCAAGTACAAATGTTGGGAACTGGGACAGCTGAGTATCTTGGAAATTGCAGTTAGCCTTAGCCTGGGAGAAGAGGAAGGAAACACTGCATGGGATTTAGGGATTGAGGAACAGATCTTGAAGCTCTCTTCAGCTAAGGCTGGGGCGGGGTGGTGATGGCAATTCCTAAGATACTCAGTTGTCCCAGTTTACAACATTTGTCTGTGAGATTTTCAGCAGGTGGGGTGTTATTTTTTATATCATCTTGATTTCCAAAGGTATTTCTCTTTTCTCCCCTACCCAGAGATCCATCCCTTGTAACAAAGGATAAAAAAGAAAGATGGGGGAAAATCCAGTTTAATTCAACACATCCACTGAGTTTGCCAGCAGCTGCAATTTTCAAACTCTTTCCTTCATCTCTTCAATGGAGGGAGAGAGGTAAATTATCTCATCTCTTCTTTAGGACCAAGCTTGCTGATTATAATTAGAGTTCAGTTTCTTTTTTTGTTTTATTTAATTTTTTCACTTACTCAACTGTAATCATTGGGCACGTTGCTTTCTTGGTTCTGCTTAGGATCAAAAATCTAGAGCTGGAAGAGGCCTTGGAAACCACTGAGGCCAACCCTACCAGGTAGATGAGGAAAGCGAGGCCCAATAAGGTTAAGTGACTGGCCCAAGGTCACACAGCTGTGTCGATGGTGGAATTTGAACCTAGACACTGACTCCAGAATTAGTAACCTTTCATGCTATCTCCCTCACTCTGCGTCAGTTTATATGTCTTCCCGTTCCTCTCTGTATTTTTCATGTTCATTCCTTCTTATGGTGTAGTAGCATTCAGTTACATTCACAAACGATGATTTGATTAGGCATTCCTCATTTGATAGGCAGCTACTTTGTTTCCAGTTCTTTGCCAATATTTAAAACATGGCTACAAATCTCCTGGTGTATGTGGAGCCTTTCTTTGTATCCCTGAGGTCCTTGACTTGTAGCGGAGGGATCATTAATTGACGATGGTGATGATGGAATTCCCTAATGTGGCACCATGATTCTATGGCTTTAACATGTGAACAACCATGCCTGTCTCAATATCTTTGGCACCAGACTTTCATGTTAGCCCTTTCAGTCTCTGGATCTAAAGGGAGAGAAACTCCAGGGTGATTTTTTAAACAAGTTTACTCTTCTCCCAACTTCCCTTACCAATGTCTGCTCTGGGTGATGAATCTGGGTTGGTCTTGGGCAGGTGGGAACGGCCATGTTTGCTGACTTGTTACATGCGCATCTTACCATGTAAAACAAGTAAGGAAGCAAGCTCAATGACCTAGCAGTCCACAGCAAACAGAGGTTACTGGCCTTCTCTCCTCTATGGTCTTTTTCATTGACATAGTATTCTAGTCATTTGCCATGAAGCTCCCAGGCTCCCTGTGGCAGTGCTCCCCCCTCCAAGCCCCTTAGGTGGAGGAGATCAGAATCTATTCCCTGATCAAATCTGGTTCTTTCAGAGATCCCTCATGAACACTGACTCCATGTGGTGGAGCCATTCCTGGTCTCTTGAATATCAAATCCATCCTGGTGCTGTCCATCTGTTTTCCTTCAGTCTCACTGCCCAACAGCCCCAACTCCTTCAGGCCTTAATGAAGCATTTTATGTTCTTTCTCATGTGCAAGTCATCAGTGGGAAGAGGCTGTTTACCAGTCAGTGGTAATTCCAAACTTCTCAGACGTGCGGCACTCTGGAAGAAGAGTGGTGTTCACAAGATGGGTTGGTGCAAGAAGCTTGGGGTCATTGAAAGTGCTTTGTGGCTTTCCAAATGGGGTCCAGACTAATCTCAAGCACCCATGAATCACTAGGGCTGAAAGAGACCTTAGATAATCCAACCCACAAGGAAACTTGGACCCAGAGAAGTTCAAATATTTGCCTCAAGTCACAAGGGGCATAAGCATAGGAGCCAAAGCTTCCTTGGCTCCAGGAATCTTTCCTTGACACCTCATTGCCTGTAGTTCCTCCTTCTGTTT